ATCTGTACTTGGATGCCCGTCTGAATATGTGTTGCCATTTTATTTTAAGAAGTGCTGAAATTTTTTTTAGTGTATTTAAAACAAAATTAGATTACATCAAGGGGTACCTTGGGGTAAAATATGAGGTATGATTTGCGAAATAACGTTTCTGAAAGAGGTTTCTTTACTCTTTTCAACATTCAGCTTCCTACGAGGATCATGATTTGTGTCCCACCAGTTTTGATGCAACCAGGGGCGAGTCTGTCCTAATATGCTGTCCTGTCCAGGGGTTTCCACCTCCTCAAGTTAGCTGGGAACTGCCAAATGGAACTCTGCTTGAAACAGGAAGCACTATTTTGCACGTAATAGTCAAGACTGAGAATGACTTTGGACGCTACAGGTGCATTGCAAGGAGTCTGGAAAAGAATGTCCGTACAGCTAACATCACCATTCGTGAAAGAAGTAAGTACAACCTTAAGATTTAGGTGAAATGTGCGTCAGCTCCTCTCCAGAGAAACATGAACACTAGAAAAAAAACCATCTTGAGATTAAGTACAACTGGCATTTCACAGAGTAAGGCTTCTTACAACAATGACGAGTCGATAAACATTTACAAAAACTGACCGGGAAAAATAAATGTCGGTATTACAGAAATGTGTAAAAAAAAAGAAAAAACAGAAAAATTGATGGAGAAAACGACCTAACCATGCCATGCAATGACGTCATTATTTTCCTATGTTTAGATAGAAATGCTTGGTAAGATGTTCAACAAATAAAGAACCCTTGACCATATCAAACTCATGGAGTACAAATAGTCTTAACATGAATGTAGTGACCACGCCCACTTCAACACCTCACTCAAATCGAGTGTAATTTTCGAATGTTTTACCATCGTGCGGATTCTCTACGGAAAAAGCATTCAATGTACCTCTGAAATATTAAACTATAATATTGTGGCTTTCTATTTCGCTAATTTTCTAACTTGAAGGTAAAGTTTTTCCCTCGTCATTTTTACCTTTCCTCCGAGCGGTTGCATGAAATTAATAAGGTGTTTTTTGATCAAAACACGACCGAGCGAAGGGTCTCGGGCGATATCTCTTTTACGCAGGCGCAAACTAAAAATGTACCGCCAGAATATAAAAGAGGAAAAAATTTCCTTTGTTTTGATATGTAAAGTGTCGAACAAAAAGCAGATTTACCCTCGTCAAATGGCGTTTCAAAACAGCTGTATCTTCCTCCTTTTGATTTTTTCCTGTTTTGTAAGCGTGAAAGCAGTAGGAGAGGGATCGGGAAACTCAGAGAGCGCTTCGGGAATTAATCTGCCATCGTTTACTTACAAGATAAACAAGTAAGATTTGTGAAGTTCGTTGAAGTATGAAGTCTAAATAAATGCCTTTTTTAAGCTTGTTTGCTGGATTTTTCGTAAACTTCCCTGATTAATTTTTCGTTTCAGCTTACTAATCTATACTATTTCAAAGCAATGTAAAGACGAAGACGGAGAACTATGAGTCGGTCTTTTCAAAAATCGTAAACAAAGTGTTTGAGCAATCAGGTATACGAGGTGTAATAATCAATAGCCGCATCTCAGAAGTCTTCAGAAAGAAATTATTCTGTCTTCAGAAAGCTGTCAAGAAAGCTAGTGATCGTGGCGGAAGGCAATTAAATGCACTTCTTAGCAAGTTGGAAACGGGCCCTCGGTATCGATTTAATATCATATCAATATCAATATCATACAGTTTTGTATCTTTCTTCCGTAGATTCGCCTTTCTAACGAGGGTGTATGTTGAGTATTCATTGCAAAATCGCTTTGTTTTTTAAATTTCCCTCTTTGGCCTGTCCGCCATTTTGAAAATTCGTAACGGAGAGCATGCGCATTACGTGGGGTTAGTGGTTGCGTACACCTGGAACCGAGAAAAACAAATGTTTGTCGCACTGGGGAAAGAGTTTGATATGGTGCCCTGTTCTATTGTAAAGCACGTAGGAAGCAGCTAGAGCACGAAAGTAGTGTAGGGAGAAACACGAGACGTACTATGGTCGCTTTCCAGGTTGACACCTATGCAAATATGATAGCTACCACTTTGATTGCAATTTCTTCGTTAAGGTGTTTTTCTCTTGAGCTTAGGAATGAGTTCCTATTTGAATAGATCTCATAAGAAGTTTTCGAATATCCCTCACTGTTGGTTCTTCTCTTTATCAGTGATCCTGTAGTTTAGAGCAGATATACGAATTGGCCGTTTCTTTTACTTCAGTCTTTTTTCAATATTTTTTTTGCAAAAGAAGAAGCATGCCTGAAACTTTTTGCGTTCGACGCAGAAGGACGCAGTTCATAATCTTGGGTGTCCTGTGCTTTCAAGAGTGACCTTTTTTTGAGATTTTTTCGTCGACTGTCTGCAGTTTCTGCGCAGTTTAATATGACGTCATACGTCATAGGCGCAGACTAACAGGTATGACAAAAAAGATGAGCGGACAACTTTAAGAGGCAGAAGAGAGGACCAAAGGGACAACAAGACACGAGTTTCCTGCTCCACCAACGCGTTGATTCATTCTCAGTAACAGCGGGTTTTGCGCTTATTTGATTTTAGAGAGACCTAAATGTCCTCTTTCTGCGTACTTCTCTCCATCACCATTTTCCACACCAAGAATTCTGCGGGAAGAGATCAAAAAACATCTATCTACCTGACTTAACAGCACGGACATCCCCATCATTTGTTGCCACTCTACCTGAAAACATCCATTATTACCAAAACAATAAAGAAAATAAGGCACTTTCAAATTATCTTAATACTCTTTCTTAATAATCCCTTGAACATTTTTATACGTATTATTTTCCACTTCTCCCCTAACGACTACTATGGCTCTTTTCAAAGTACCTTGTTACAGAATAATCTTACCGACAGAGAGAACACTATTATTCTCTAAACTTAGCGACTTTATTAAACGAGGGGTAGTTTTCTTATCTAGGAGCGACTCCAATAGACAATACAGTAATTGTCCCTAATAAACATACTTAAGCCCACTACGGTCCATAGTTTAGCACACCACTGATACAAACTCTCAGTTTTCTCTAAAGTACTTCGAAGTGAACAAACTCCAAGATAGCTTTCTCTCGGTATAGCTTTCCAAACAGTCGGTCACTCTCAGCAACAGCAATTAACTATTACTACACGACTTTATACATTTACGAAGTATTCTAGAACATTCCAGAAGCTTACAACACCACTATTTTGGTAGTAGTACATCATAAATACGTGACCTATTACAACGTTGTAGAAAGTTCCATGGTATGCAAGTTAGCTTTCTAGAAATTTTTAGATATTTTTATAGATATTGGTGTTGTTGCTGTCGGAGCATCCGCGTAACCAGCTCTCATATTCAAGACGTATTTCCCAATTTTACGCATTCTTCGTTCGTTGTTTCGTGTAAGGAAACAGTCTCTTAGGAGTCGCCTTATGTAAGAGCCATCGACTTGCTTTTATTTAGACCTGAAACTCGTCCCTTTCAGCGTACGAGCGTAAACATCGATATAAAGAGTCGAATTTGCCGGTTTTTTTTTTTGAGCCACTAGCCAAAAATATAGTTAACGTACAATGTATCAGAAATAGTCCGTGAAATAGTAAGCAAAAGCCCGTGTTTGAGAAAAATATCATATTTTAGCGAGCAAGCATCCTGGTAGATGGATCTATTTCAGTTGATGCGAAATCATAAATGTTTACCGAATCACGCGGTGGAGAATCGTCAAGCTCAGTTGTTAGTTATTGATGTTGTCATCCGAAAGTACGCACTAGTGACAGTTAATGAGAACTTTGATAAGTTCTTTAACTATTTTACCTTAGACGGCTGAAAAACCGTTCAAATACTTGATTCCTGAATAAATACATGCAAACTGCAGGGTTCACACTATGCTATTAGAAACACGTAAACGGATTATGAAAACAACTACGCTTAATACACGAAAGCCGGACACGGTCTTAAATGGACTAATTACCCAGCATTCAGTCTCGGCAGTCTTTTGACAGTATTAGACGTTTATTTTGTAGTGTTCAGTGATTCCAGAATTATGCTGGCTTTCTAGTTAACGAAATATCTCCTCTTGGGTATAATATAAAATCGCTATATCCTTGACGCTTAAAAAAAGTTTGAACCAAGAACTTTTTTACTAACCCAGAATAAGTCATCCACTTAAAAATCAAACTGATTTTCAGAATCACTAACAATGAACGTACTTGTTATTTTCGTATGAGGCGATTATCTCTGATTAAAAAGCACTTACACCGTCTAAGACACCGCCTGGCAGTCTGGTCACAAGAACCTTCCGATTTTTCACTACTTTTTGGTTGTATCATTTATACACGTAATGGTCTTGCTTACCATATCATTGTATTAGTTACGTTTATTCCATTTTCCCAGCGCTGCTTTTACTACATTCCTTTAATCTTCTTACTCGTTTTGATTGTCTGTCCGTGTTTACGAGGTTCAGACTGACGTTGATCACGATTTTCTACACCCCCTCCTACTCCTGCATCGCTTTGCATTTTCAGTTTGCCATGACGTTAAAATACGTTTCGTAACGTTTATCTTCCTTATTAGGTTCATATCCTCACATAATTGACAAGAAGATTATTCTGAAAGATGGCGACAAACTTGCTTGGAAAGAAGTACCAGGTGCAAGTTACTATCTCCTCAGATTACCCGGGAATAAACTCTTGGAGGACAATTCTCTTCTTGGTTGTAATACCAGTACTTCTGTGGAGATTCCTTACAGCAGTTTAACCTTTAAACGTGGTATCAAGAAAAAACCATCTAAAGTAAAGACCGAAGTCGAAGTCTGGGCTTTCGGCAAGTCCAGAATTATTGGGAATGGAACGCGTTATACTGATGTCGGTATGTATGAGAGCTACACCAATTTTTCATCAAAAAGGAAAATATCATCTTTATTTTACCAGGGGGAAAATTTATGGTTATACTTAACCTCGATCCTTTACTGCCGAAGATGTCTGAGAGTGTACAAACATCAACAGCACTTTGTGTTAGAGGTTTGCAAAGATTTTGCTGTGTTAGCTTTATTGAGCGGGCGGTAACCATGATTTAATTATCCTGAGGGTGATTTGTGTTACATATATATATATAGATTTGTTTGCAAGTCATAAAGGCAATATCGAAAGTAGCAGATTATTGATGAGAATAACAAAATGAATCTTTCAAAAGCGGAGATTGAAGCAGAAATTGATGTCAATATCCACGCACTCAGAATAAATTTTACCTGAATGCTTGAGTTGGGCGCCACCATAACTTGATCCATTGTAAAAGAAATACCCTATAAGTTTGAGCTCGATGAAACTGCGTTTGTAGAGGTAAGCATTGACTTGTGTGACGATAGGTTTGGACTGTATTGGGACGGAAGGGAACGGAATGTACGAAACTGCTCTCTTAATTGCCGTAGAGCAGCTTAGGAAATAAAAGTGAGAAGTAGTAATGATTTCTGCTTATCTATGCGATGTTGGTGTTAAGTTCGGAAAAGCGGCAACGTGAGAAATTATCCTATGAAAAGAAAGCGAACTTACGAGCACAAACTCAGCTGCCAACTTCCCTGGGAACCAATTTTCCAGAAAGATCAGTAACACGTATATTTATATTTCCAGAGAGAGCATTGACACGTACATTTATATGCAACTTCAACAGTAATGCAGGGAGGTCAGTTTTCATGGCTCTCTTTTCAAGGCGACGATGTTGACGCTTTAGTTGCTTAAGGTCATCATTAAACCATGGGACCTTTGGACGATTAATCGTAGTCCTTGTTTTAAGCGGGGCAAACTTATCCAGTTAGTCAGTAAGGGTCTTGTTAAAGCAGTTGGAGAGTGCATCAATGTTGTCCCAATGTACGCCTGCACAAAGCATAGAAGAGGCAATATCAGCCGAGAACGCAGCAATATCAATATTTATGAGTTTACGAAAAGTCAGTTTTTTGCATGACAAAGCTGGTCGTGAGAAACCAAAGTATATGAGCAAATTGTAATGGGGGAAAAATGTTTTTTTCAGTTTTTTTAAAAATTTTTTTCGGGGAAAGGGATTGTATTATTTACCAAATAGTAACTTAAGTTTTTCTTTCTTTTTCCGCAGAAATCTACGCGAGTGCAGCAGCTTCTACTGTTTCATTGATGACGCTCTTGTTATCGTTTGTGATTTACAACGTACAATAGTCGGTAAGTCTATTTTCTTGTACTTAAAGTAAATTCTACTGTTGCCCCTCTCTTTTCCTCAGTATGGGTGGGTTTTATATTCATGGTGTTCTTTCCTTGATTTTCCTTATGTTTTCGCAACTTGGATTTTTTCGGGCGTAAAGATGGTATAAAGGTAGTCTGAATGTTTTGCTCACAAAAAACAAAATTTGAGTCCTAATTTGTGTACAGATAGACAGAAATAGTCTCGCATTTCATATTTTACTTGATATCACAACTTTTACTTACAGGGTCCATCAAGGGTCTATTTTCCACATTTCAGAGCCCATATATTATGAGATCCTAGAAAAAAAGAATCGTCCTCTGAAACAAGCCGTATTTATTAAAGTAAAAAAAGAGAAGGCCTTTGAAACTCGTGGGAAAGGTCATTTCGCGAAGTGGGGAAAAAGAATTTACGATGGATTGAGCGAAAATCCAAAAATTTATTGGGAAAAACAAAAGGAAAAGTGAGCAAAGCAAGCTAGAGAAAAAGAAACACACTTGAACGATTTCTTCGGCACGGGCTCTCTCGGGCCTTTTCTCTTTTTGGCCGTGTGATGAAGACTCCTGTTTCTCAACGTCTTGCGAAATATGTTATAAATTCCCTTTTGTTGTGCAGTGCAAGACGTGATTTAAACAAAATATGCAAATCGAAATCCCGGGCGAAAGCCCGCGGAAGCTTCAACACTCTGCTGAAGGCCTTTCCGATTATGACACCTTTTGGTCTTCGGCACAGGTTCCCTTAACCATTCTTTCAGCCATACCTCGCGTTCTTTTTAATATTTTACATTTTTTTCGCGGCAAATTAAACGTTACTCCTTACTGTAACTAAAGAGCAAAAAACGAAATTTTGAACATTTTGACCAAATTTTGCTGACTGTAACCTTAATGTATCAATTTCCCGTAATTCTAAATGAAAGGACGTGATAGAGCTGACCACACTTTGCGCCTCTTTGTGTTCCAGAATGTACGAAGAAGGATATCGGAAAGACGATGAGACAAAATTGTCTCATTTTAAATTCTTCTCTCGCCTCGAGATAAGATAATTAGATAATAAAACAAGAGGAGAACTTATATTTGATCATTTCTTAGTTTTGATAGAACAGATGACTTATTCAATCAAGGTCATGCTCAGTGGTTAAATAACTCCTTTCAGTTTATCAGTTGATAACGCTAAGACCATATTATTGTTATATTTTAGTTGTTTATTATTTCGCTTTCTGCTCCGAATGAGATCACCACGTTACCGTGGTGGAGCAGTTTTGTGTTTCTTAATAAACCCTAGAGTTATGTCGGTGGAGTCTTGCACACCTGGTAGGGCCACCCATGCCGAACAGGTTAAAGGGTCGACATGTAACAAAGAGTGATCTCCTTGTCTTCTAGGCAGAGGGTTGGGCGCAGGGTTAACGACGCTGCCTTGCAAAGTGTTGAGCCAAAAGCCCTTGTCATAGTAAAGAAGATAGTCGAGCTTTTATTAATTCTAATCTAAATTAGTATTTCTGTTTATGTGGTATTTGATATGTAATAATCTTTTTGCATTAGACGGCAATTTAGGCTTAAATGAGGCGTTGAGTTAAGAAGATGGCGAGTTTAAAAGCTTAGAAACTAGTTGCAAGTATATACATTTTTTTCCGAACGAGAATATCACTTATAGAAGGAACTTCTCTCCTTTGTAAACTTTTGGATCATGATAGCTAAAGGGTATAACTGATCATTTGTTAAGGTTTCTCGGTCGGCTGGATTCTTGCACTCCTGTTAGGGTCACCCATGCCGAACAGGTTAAAGGGTCGACATGTAACAAAGAGTGATCTCCTTGTCCTCCAGGCTGGAGGTTGGGCGCAGGGTTAACGACCCTGCCCCGCAAAGTGTTGAGCCAAAAGCCTTTGTCATAGTAAAGTAGATAGTCGAGCTTTTGTTAATTCTAATCTAAATTCGTATTTCTGTTTATGTGATATTTGATATGCAATAATCTTTTTGCATTAGGCGGTAATTTAGGCTTAAATGAGGCGTTGAGTTAAGAAGATGGCGAGTTAAAAAGCTTAGAAACTAGTTGCAAGTAAATATTTTTTTTCCGAACGAGAGTATCACTTATAGAAAGGAACTTCTCTCCTTTGTAAACTTTTGGATCATGATAGTTAAAGGGTATAACTGATTATTTGTAAAGGTTTCTCGTTCGACTGTAATTCCTTATATATTAGAACTTCACGAGGATTTTTTTTTTAAGAAAATTTAATCAATTTGGGGTTCAATTTAGTAGAGGCTTAAAAATAAAACATGAAATCTTAAGGAAGATGTTTATTTTGTCTTAACTGGGTGACCGCTAGCTGAAGAGTCGCGTTATGTCATTACGTTTATTGCGCCTCGTGGTTCTTACAGATATCAGCGAACTCTTTTCGGTCTAAGCGACGCGAGGGAAGCCTTACAGAGGATAATGGACAAAATTTTGTTAAGCGTCCAGGGTGTCCACATCTCAGTCAATGAAACAATCATTTATGGCAAGACCATGGCTGAACATTGCCCAAGAAGGATGTAGTGTAATGAGAACATAGTTAAATTCCCATTTACCAATGTCAGTAATATTACTGTGGAATTACTGAACGATGTGAAAGTACTGTAATCAAGTAACATGATTGTAGCAACTTGATAGATACTTGATCGATGGATAGAGACAGAATATAGAAAGCAATTGAAGAACGAGTGTCTCCACCAAATGAATACAAAACATTTGCATTTCTTTTTGGCTGTTTGTATTTTCTGATTCCCTCACCTGATTTTTTTTCCTTTTTCAAAACCCTTTACAGCTTCCAAATATTTACTAGGACTTTTTTGCTCTATTTTAGCAGTTTCTTTTACAACCTTGTTACTACTTGTTCTTTTCCCATCTAAGTGGTGTACGCTCAATTTGATTTCTTTCAGAGTAAACACCTTGTGTTTTTTCCCATAGTTGGACCGAAACCGTATTTTTTGACTCTGTCGGTGTTGTCAAATGAAGAAATGTAAAATGGTTTCCGTGTTTACATAGCCTGATGTAAACACTTGGAAGGTTGGGAGAACACGAGATAAGCGTAGGAAACCACGACGCGAAGCGGAGTGGTTTCCAGCTTATCGAGTTGACCCTTCATAAGACCCTTGTTGACCCTTCATAAGTTGACCCTTCATAAGACCCTTGTTGAGACACTACGACTGAAAATGCATCAAGTGATTAGTGATATTTTCTTGGTTTTCTTACAGTTTTTTAATTAGCTTACCTGCACTTATCCATAGTCTCCTTTACCTCTTTTTGTGCGTCGATAATCGGTTTGAATGATTCTCTGCTTTTATATTGCATCACTTCTCCTCTATCAAGATAATTTTTTTTATCTCTTTCGATATCTTGGGGCTGAAAGAATCAGCTTTCATACGCCTTTCGGCGTTTCTTTTAAGTCTGGTAATATCCATATACCGTATTTTGTTTCATAAAGTAAGGGTTGAGTGTCAGTTATTTCACAAGATGAGTACGGCAGTTATTTTTATGTACATATATATTATGAAGCCTTCATGATATGGATTCTCAACTGTGATATTGATATAAACGAAAGCAAGAAAAGAAGACCGAACAAGTTTTTGGATAAGCAATCAGTTTGCGGTAAGACGAACGCAATTATTCATATGCTTCGCTAAATACTGGTGTATTATGACAAGAGTTATTTTTAAACACCAAATCAAAACCGAGAGAAAAAGTTGGTTAAGATGTTATGGAAATAAGAACACAAGACGAGATAATGGACGCAAGTGAATACCCTGAAGGAAATAGAAAAATTGTTGTCTTTGATGTTCTTGTCAATGCGCCAGATAAAACTCGATCAAAGATAGCCAATCATTCTACAGATGGAATACATCACGATATTTCACCAATCTATCTCGGTCAATTGTATTACGATGTACCCAAAAAACTGAGTTTAAACTGCAGTCATATGATTCTTTATCCACCTGTAACCACGAAGCACTTTAATCTGATTGGTGAAGAGAACATGATCGATCCGAAATTATTCGAGAGGTCAGGACCATATGAATCCCTGTTTTTGAATAAAGAGAATGAAAGTAAGAAAAAGAACTTAGATGAAACTATGTAATGAACATATATAAATATGCTATCGTATTGTGTAAGAGAGAAAAAACAAACAGAATGTGTTGAGCCTTCTGGTTATAAAAAAGCTAAAAACGGAAGGAAAAACTAAATTTGTTAAATCACAAGATGGGGTGGCCCATATGATATTGGGGAACTCCCTTTGAAAGCAGGTATAAAAGGTTTGTATAATCTTGGTGCTTCAGAGGCTATCAAATCTGATTTTGCAAAAAAGAAGAGGAATCACTGACAAATACATTGATGAATTCCTTAGTAGTCTAACTCTGGTGCATAAAAGAAATCAGACCTTCATCGTGGTGGTCAAATTGATTATTACTGAGATACCTGTGGTAGCTCAGTCTTAAAATGCCTTTGTTACTGGGATACCTGTGGTAGCCCAGTCATAAAATGCCTTTGTTTTTTTGTCGTCTTTTTACTGGGATACCTGTGGTAGCCCAGTCATAAAATGCCTTTGTTTTTTTGTCTTTTTACTGGGATACCTGTGGTAGCCCAGTCATAAAATGCCTTTGTTTTTTTGTCTTTTTTTTACTGGGATACCTGTGGTAGCCCAGTCATAAAATGCCTTGTTTTTTTGTCGTCTTTTTTTTTTTTTGTTTTTTTTGTTTTTTTCCTCCGCCACAAAATGGAAAAATTGCGCAATAGTACCCAGAGGTCATTGGGCCCTCAACACCATGACAACTAACTGTGATCCAATGAGGTGTTCACATGCTGATCACGCGTGCTATCTTGATGATGATTGACGTTGTCATGCACGGACAGGGCTGGGTCACATGACGAACACGAGATTTTTGTCCATAAAACTATTTTGTCAGTCGTTTTGTATTTCAACGTAATTGGATTACGATCATCTGGAGCATTATGGGGCAAACGCTCAAAATACTTATAGACGCATACGCAATTCGTATTGTTCGCGGCCAATCCACACAAAAAGATGTTATTGAGCGGTAATTTTGGATCGGACAGAATCGCGAACGCTTGAAAGCCATGAAAGCATTGAATGCCTTGTATGTCTTGTATGCCAAGTATGCCAATGTCTTAGTTGAAAACGTAAACTCGTTGTAAAAAGCAAAATCTGAAATCTGAAACCAAACTGCATATACTCCATGCAATCTATTGAACAACACTACTACCGTGAGACTGAGGAACAAAATTCAAATGGATGCAAACTGCTGGTGAAGAAAGACGACATGTTGGATTCACTTGATGCCAGAGAACGTAGCTGCGATAACAGTGCGAATGGTAATTATTTCACGATCAGAAAGGTGAATCTTATGTTTGTATTCATTGTAGTTGTATGGATATTCTTTTTTAATAAATACATGATCCAAAATCCCGTGTTTTTTGTGTATAATGTTATTATGTCAAGTATTGTTTACGCAATTGTCTTGTCACAGGTGACCCAAGGTCACGTTTCGAGAGAGAGCCAACGATTAATTCACGAACGCGTCACGCGTTGTGTGACTCAGAGTAAGTTATTCTAGGAACCGTTGAAAATTTGAACACGTTATAAGGAATAGTATAGGGAACGAAATATGGTCGATTTACAACGATAAATGTTTCGAAATATGAAGATTTTTCTCGAAAAATCAATAAAACTTACTCATACCCTGTGTATCCGTTGTAGTTTCTGGCGATTGTTGCCGTTTTAAGCTTGCTTTACCATCACTATTATTCACGTCATCTACTTTTATTACATTGGTAAAATCTGTACAGACATCACACCAACCAACTCGCGCGCAAAGTAAGAAGACTATGTTGAAGGCTTGAAATTATATTACGATCGATTTTCATCAAGAAATGGGCCAGGAATTTTCCACAATAGTGCAAATAATCGTGAAGGCTGATCGCGGAAAAGCGATTGCGTGACGCTCGGTAAGCTGTAAGATGACATGTTATTATATACCAGACGTAAAAACTCTTCAGATTCTCAGTCTGCATTTTTTACCCACTCTGCAGTCTATATTTTGTAGCCGGTCTGCAGTCTGCTGTCTACATTTTGTACTAACAGGTATCCGTGGCACAAATACAGTTTATTTTTGGTTACATTTATTCGCACAACACACATAATCTACCACAAAATACCTGTGTGTGAGGTAATTCGACATTTTCATTCTTTCCCGCGTTAATAATCTTCTTTCCTTTTGTAAGAATGTAGACCACTTACAATGTTTCAAGTAATCCACCCACCCTAGAAAAAATAACTTTTGCATGCATAGCATGCCTATGTTTTGAGACAGGTGTATGCCCTTGGCCAGACTTGAGCTCACTATTTCAGTATACTAGTCCGACACGCGTAGTATCACTACACTTGATTCCACGGATCCAGTACCATCCAGGTATCCCAGTTACCCTGCTCACAGGGTCTAGTTTTTTTTTTTTTTTTTTTTTCCTCCGCCACAAAATGGAAAAATTGCGCAATAGTACCCAAAGTCATTGGGCCCTCAATACCATGACAACTAACTGTGATCCAATGAGGTGTTCACATACTGATCACGCGTGTTATCCCTCAACTCCATGACAACTAACTGTGATCCAATGAGGTGTTCACATGCTGATCACGCGTGTTATCTTGATGATGATTGACGTTGTCATGCACAGACAGGGCCGGGTCACATGACAAACACGAGATTTTGCTTATAAAACTCTTAGGTCAGTTGTTTTGTATTCAAACGTATTTGGATTGCGATCTCCTGGAGCATTATAGCGCAAACGCGCAAAATACTTACAGACGCATATACAAGTCGTATTAATCGCGGCTAATCCACACTGAAAGAGGTTTTTGAGCGGTAATTTTGGAACGGATTGAGTCGCGAACGCTTGAAAGCCATGAAAGCCTTGAATGCCTTGTATGCTAAGTATGCCAATGTCTTAGTTGAAAAATGTTCACTTGTTGTAAAAAGCAAAATCTGAAATCTGAAACCAAACTGCATATACTCTATGCAATCTATTGAACAACGCTACTACCGTGAGACTGAAGAACATAGCTATAAGGGATGCAAACTGCTTGTGAAGAAAGACGACATGTTGGATTCACTTGATGGCAAGGAACGTAGCTACGATAACAGTACGAATGGTATTAATTTCACGATCAGA